TAACCCTCTCTGGCCCCGACCCGAACACCCCATCCCCACCCCCTTCAATTGCATCCCACAAGTTGATTTTGACTTTGGAGTCAAAATTTGTTAGGGAGTAATTTATAATTAAGTCTAATTCGATGTATTTAGATTATACTCCCTCCGTCCCTAAATGGATTACAATTTTTTTTCTCTCTCCTCTCGATAACTTTTGTTTGTTTACACGATTTCATTAAGTATTTGATAAAATAAAATATTCTTGTCACCTATTGTTTTGTAGAACTTTTCACGTAGTTTTTTAATATGTAATTTTTATATCTTATTGATATACCAATTTGTAAATAAAATGATTTCAAAAAATAGGAAATTTTACTCCGTAACTCGCAATTTGTAATCAAATTGGGGACGGAGGGAGTAAAAAACAATAAGAGTACGTAAAAAGTGTCATATTTGGAGATGGTGGGATATATGTATGTTGCAAGGCGTGCAAGGAGATGCAAGGGATGGGAGATTGGATTGGGTGTGGTCACTCACACACAATATATATATATACATACATAAGAAGAATGTGGCAAACTGGCAGCCACCACAAACATATTACTAGTGACGCGTGCAAACTGCCAACCAATTTTTTTTTGTTCTACGAATGCTTTTTTTTTTTTTGAGAAAATTATTTACGGAGTATGTGGATACACTTAAAACAATACTCCCTCCGTCCCTAAATAATGTTCCACTTTTGACTTTTTGAGGATTTAAGGGATGGATATTTTTGTGTTGACTTTTCAAAAATACCCTTGATGTGATGTGTTAAAGTAAGATGTGATAAGTAGATTATTAGTAAAAAGGTATGATGTGATAGGTAGGATATGAAAAAGTAAGGGTAAAAGGGGGTTTTTAAGGGAAAAGAGAAGTTTATTTAGGGACAGAGAAAAAACGAAAGAGAAACTTTATTTAGGGACGGAGGAAAGTAACATTTTACGTAAATAAGACATAACTGATGGAGTCGCATGGATGGGACTATAATGCTATTGAAAAGAATATAATCTCTTAATAAAAAAAACTAGCATTAGTGCATAATCTCGAAGATAACACACACCGAATAATCACATCATTATATTCCACAGTCGCGAACAGTGGTGGAGCTAGGAGGTCACAATTGGGGGCACACCTCGGGGGTCCGGGGGCAGCGCCCCCGTTTTTTTTTTTAAAATAAAACAACATAAAATGATTTAAAAAATTTATTTCAAAGAATCAAATTATTCACAAAAAATGTAACAATAAATATTATTATGATTATACAAAATGTTAGTTCTTTTTCAAAATAACAATTTGGTTAATTAATTATTTATTACTAAGTAACAAGTTTGTTCGAAATTATATGGAGTAATTCTTATAATAAAATAACAACAATAATAATAACCCAATTAGATTAGAGGTGTATTTACGTAGACCTTTATTAATAAAATAAAAATATTATTAATTGAACACAAAACAAAGTAATTGCATATTTAATAGACTTAAATAAAAAGTCATTATTGGGGAAGATGGGTTTCCCCTTTTTTTAAGACTTCTCGATTTGGGTAATTGCCACTAATTGGGTTTGGTCAAAGTCCTAGACTCCTAGGCATTTAAAAAAAACCTACAACCTAGGCATTAAAAAAAGCTACGACGTCGTTTCCCTTCTTTTTTTTCCCGTAAAATGCTCTTCTTCGCAGAGCACAGCCGTCACACAGCGCCCTGCTTGTTGCCGGAAAAAATTGGGGGGGGGGGGCACATCAAGCCTACCATCGGAGAAGGGGTACCCAGTGGCGGAGCCAGGAGTTCACTAGTGGGGGGCACACTCGGGGTCGGGGGAGTCCAAGGCAATGCTCCCAATTTTTAACTACAATATAAACTGATAAATCAATAATAAATTGTATCTCAAAGATTAAAATAATTTACAAAAATATAACAATAAAATGTCATTATTATTAATCATACCCTAAAGAAGTACTAACTTTTGTTTCTTGAATAAGATTTTGGTCATTTGTCATCTACGTAGTAACGAATTTGTTCAAAAGTATATAGAATCATTCTTAATCAAATAACAATATCATTAATTGAATTCCAATCAAAGTAATCAGATATACTATAGTTTTATAGATTAATAATAATCTCTAAAAAACAAATCAATAAGTAGGTAGGGTATGAAAAAGTAAGAGTAAAAGTTGTTTTTTAATAGAAAGTGAGAGTGTTTTGTTGAAATTGAAAAAAATGCAAGAGGAAGTGTTTTTGATAACGGGGAGTACTTTTTTTAATACATAATGTATTAAAGTCACAAATCACAAGCTAAAAGCATTTTTTGGTACAAATCTAAAAGCCTTAAAAGTTTAAACAAACACAAAGTAAAATTGACGAAATAATTTTAAAAATTAAAACAAAAAAACACCTTAACCTTACTAACCTCAGTAACCTAAAAGGAGTAAGCATAGCCGATGGGAGATTCCTCATCTGACTTCTGGCTAGGTGTCGAAGAAGGAGAGAACGAGAAAGAAAGAAAATTGCAAAGAGGCGGAAAAGCTGAAGCACCAAAGGAGGCACCGAGGCGGAACAGCGTAAGAAACAGAGACTAAGCAGCGAGGAGGCGGAACTGGAGAAGAAACAGAGCCGAGGAGTCTTAAGATTTACTCCGTATTTTTTTATTTTTATCTAACCCTAACCTAAAACGACGTCGTATTGCGTTTTCTTTTAAAAACCGAAAGTAAGCCAGGGGACGGTCACTTGGTCAATCGTCAATCCGTCATCTTCTTCGACTTGGCAGTTGGCAGGGCACCTTCATCGCCGGATAACTCAAATCGCCGGTAACCACTACTTCGCCGGAATCTCGCCGGGGGCACTTGCCCTGTCAGCCCCCCCCCTCTCCTCCGCCCCTGGGGGTACCCTAATAGCACTTCGCCGGAAATTCGCCAGGGGGGCACTTGCCTAGGCAGCCCCCCCTCTCCTCCACCCCTAGTCGCGAAGGTAGTATATATTTTTATAAGAGAGACAATTTCTCCTATAAAAATATAAAATTTAAAATTTAATCAAGAATGGAATATCAAGAATATGATGTGTAGGATTGATGAGTCGCACTTAAAAAATCATACTTCCTTCGTTCGTCATAGATCTTTCCAAATGTCATTTTTGTTTGCCCACAAAGATCATCTCTTTACTTCTTTTAGCACTTAATTTTTTTTTTCATATTTTTCAATATTTTTAAAATTGAAAAAAAGTGAACTTGGAAAGATTTATGGCAGTGGAATGGAGTATCAAATTACCAAATTCGAAGGCACGTCTTTTTTTGTATTTGAAAAGTTTTAAACAACTAAAATAGGTGAAGACTATTCAAAACCATAACATGCTTATTTATGATATGATTTAGGGCCCATAGATGCATGCCAATATTCTTGGTACAATCCCTCGAGCCATGGATCAAGAAAATCTCTCGATGTCGATGCAAAATGTGACTGCCAAATCATTGTACCCACCTTAAATACAATCCTCAAAGCCTGAAACACAATGAGTCCAATAATTATTTTTCTTGCAGTCCTAAACAATATAATGGCTCCATTTTATGTGCATATCTTAGATTTGAAATCTCAAATAAAAATATTACAAGAGATTGAAAATAATAATTTAAAACTACTAATGACAAGTGGGGGAACTAAGTGGATGTGGCTTCAGGGATTTTGTGCGATGATAAGAATTGAGAAGTTCAGTTAGGGTAAAGAAAAGTTCTATTGTTCCGTAACCAGACATGCTATTTATATTGTACGTAGTATGGTGTTATGAGCGCTTGGTTGTTAAAAAACTCATGTTCGTCGATTGCATATTATAAGGTGCGGATGATGCGTTGGGTGAGTGGACAGACGAGGATTGAAGTTGAATTTTGTGGTTCAGCAATTCTAATTGATTAACCCAAAAAATAAAAAAAAATTAGTACTTTTATTGAGCCGTATTTAAACCGAACAATACTTAAACCGAAAATACTATTTAGTTCGAAATTTTCAATTTTGTTCGGTTTGATTCTTTCACAGTATCTTTTCGGCAAGATTGTACCTTAAATATACACAAAAAATTTACACTTACATTTAATGACTTATATTAACACAAAATGTGAGGACGATCACAAAATTTACACTAAAATTTTGTTTCAATGTAAGTCATCAATCTCGCATACATTGACACAAAACATAAGTTTAAATTTTTAGAGTATATTTTGGAATACAACTAGATTTATTCATTTTTTTTCAAGGCATATAGATCTCCATTATTTTTGCAATGCATTCATCTTTGTGCCTCCATTCCAAAGTATTTATCTTATTTTAACTTTTTACTGCCAATCATTTTTAATCATTAACATATAGTACATCCGTCTCAAAGTATTTATTCAGTTTTACTTTTTTCAGTTCACTGTTTTCAATCTTTAACATATACTTCCTCTGTCCCACTCTCTTTGTCCAATTACCTTTTGGCACACCATCCAATGCACTTCTTTAATCTATTTTATCTTGTAATTTGTATATTAAAAAATTATAGAAATTATATATTAATAATCTATATGTTAAGACAAATCAAACAAGATCACACATGACTATATTTAGGCTTACACATTGAGAGAATTTGATGAGTCAAATTGCTTAGATGAACAGTTCCAAAAGTCAAAAGTGGACAAAGAGAGTGGGACGGAGGTAGTAATTAAATAAAATATAGTGTATATTAATTAGATAAAATAATATTTTGAAAATATTCTATATTATAAATCTAATAAAACAATTTTTGTATCAATATCTAATATCATTTTGTTTAATTTGGGATCAAAATTAACCATTATTGATCGAAAAAGTCAAAATTAGACAAATACTCCAGGACAAAAAGTGTATAAAATTTATAGAGTACATTGATTAGATAAAACAACATTTTAAAAATATTATATAAAACAAATCTAATGATATTATATTTGTATCAATATCTAATATCAATTTTATTTAATAGTAGTCAAAATTTGTCCATTTTGATTGCAAAAAATAAAAACTGAACAATAACTCGAGTCTGGAGTTACTCAATATAATAAGATTTACAGAGTAAAAGTTGTTGGGTTGACGGGTAGAGTAACATTTATCTACACATTCACTTTCCTTAAAAAATACGAGTACTAGTAGTAATAAAGAATTGTCCAGAGGATGAAGTTTGGATACATACCATGGGTGGGCCATTGCGGAGTTAGTTGTGTCGTTTAAGCGCCCGAAGAATTGTAAGGAAGAGGTTGAGGACGTCCAGATACAGAGTGACAGATGCCCATATGTACTGATCATATGTGAACCGCTTGATCAGGTTGTCTGTGTCATACACAATGTATCCGCAAAAGATTATTGCACTGGTTGCACCATAGATGGCATCCATTGTTGATCCGAAAGGGAAAAATGCCTGCATTATTGTGTAACGTATGTATGTGATACATGCTATATAAGTGCAACACAAAGAGGAAGAACCCATAATTTAAGCCAGTTATCTGATCTGATCTAAGGGTCCGTTTGGGAAGGGGGAACGACTTCCCATATAAGTCATTTTCCAAACATTCAACCAAACACCAGATAATGAATTTATTCTCGAGAAGTCATCTTTAAAAACTCGTTTTCGGAGATCATTGTCCAGATGCCATTTTTCATCTTTCCAGACGGACCCTAATAGTAATTACTTGTCACCATATTAGACTATATAAGCCAATGACTTGGTTGTTGTATTTAAGTTGGACCGTTGCATACTCTTACACCCCACGTTCTTTTATAATTGTCCATTTGCTAGACACATTTTGTCACAAATAACCGATCATGAAGCAATTCAATGAAGGCAAAGTAGGAACGACTGAAATTGCCTCTCATAATAATTTCACATTTGTTTATTGCTTCTAAAACCTAGAAATAAATAGGGGCACCTCTGTCATTAAGAACTGAGCTGCACATCAAGGCTAAAAGTGGAAATAAAGTAATACATACCTGGATGAAGCCAGTCAATATAAGCACAAAAAGACCAGTGAACAGGATAGGTCCCATGAAACTGAAGTCTTTGCCCTTCTTAGCAGCCCAGAAAGTGTAACCAGTTAAAGCTGAAACTACTGCCGAGGTTAAGATTAAAGCCTCAAGCACAATCCTCCCTGTGATTTTTTCCACACGCAAATGTCAAACACTTCCGACTGAGGAATGTCGCCATTCACTTAAATCTTTGTAGAATAATTAAAGAAAAAGAAAAGAGTATACACCTTCTGTGTTAGCACAGCTCATGCCAACAGTGAGACTCAAAGATGCGGTAAAAAGTCCAAGGAACACCAAATTCAGTGGATGCTTTTGCTGATACACGTGCAAGGGCCACAAGACTGTTTCGTGTAAATTCTCATTAGCACATAAAAATTATGATTGGGACAGAGAACAGAATGCCATTATCAGATAATGCAACTGCAAGAGACTTATGAGTGCTAAATTGGGAAGCACTTATAAAAGGTGATATTCACCGCTCAGTTATACACTAAGTATAATAGTGATCAGTGGATACAGTTGATGGAGGATACTGAACACACTTTACCCTGCTCAAACTGAATCGGAATCTGGATAACTCAAGTGGTGAAGAAATGGACCTAAACCAACCCCAAATTAAATGCATAACAATCGCATAGGCGGGCGCCCCGACAAAGTGACATGAAGAGGTGAATTTTATCTCACACTCATATACTAGAATCAAACATAATATAAAACGGACATGGGATACTTAACAATAAGGATGTATCAAAGGCAGATAGAGATCAATCATGTAAATTTGGAGAAACTTACAGATGTATCTAGAGTACTGAGAAATGTAGCATGACTGGATCTCAAATTTGAGTTCCATGGATCATGGTAAGTTGGTAACTAAAAGCTCTCCATAGATGTATTTTTAAATTATTCAATTTGTTAACAATTGTTCGTGGTTTATACATAGTCATCTTGCAGACTTGCAATAAGGGAAGAAATGCTCACTCCTGCCAGATAAACATCTATAGAGAATGCATTATTAATGAAAATTCAAAGTTGGTTACTTCATACACCCATACTAATTAACTGAAAACCAAAAATAGAGCATTAACTACAACAACAACAAACCCATTGAAATCCCACAAAAAAAGGGTCTGGGGAGGGTGTGTGTGCCCAGACCTTATCCCTACTTTGGAGTAAATACGCTTTTTCCAAGAGAATCCAGGTCCAAAGACAAAAACACAGACAAAACAAATACACCATCAGAACAAAGTCGGAGCACAAACACAATAGGAACACATACTGGTCTGGCTGGTAACTAGCAACTAGACCAAAGCACAGAAATACAAATGCACAAACTACAGACTAAGGCAAAAAACACACCTGCATAACCTACAAATTAAGGCCCAAATGTACCGAACTACTATAATTTTAGGTTTCGGGTGTTCCTATCTGAGTACAGTACATATCCTTGGCAACACTAGCATATGACAAACTCACTCTTATATTAGCATTAGCACATCTAAACACACTGATGTTGGTAATATATCATAATCCTCCTATATGGTTATGAGCAAATTACATTAGTCAAATAATCTACAAGTCTACAGCTTTAAGTGATGGCCCATTTGGTGAGCAGAAAAGATATGGGTTTTGATATCTTCCCATATCAAAATTCTTTTTTTTTGTTTTGTGAAACATAACAAGAATTTGGAAAATTTTATCTCCAGATCTTACAAATCTTCCAAATGGAAGGTTTTGATATCTCTCGAATTTGGAAGAGATTGTTGGCCTTGAATGGCAAACCTCAAATATGTTTTGATGTGCCAAATAAACCTTCCAAACCGCTAACCTCTTTGTAGGAACAAACCAAACGCTAACCCTCTCCTAAACTTGATTAGCATCACCAAGAAGTCACTCCTACGAGCATAGTATTTTAATTTGTAAGTGTAATTATATATTAGATGATTCACTTATGCCCTTGCACTTAAAATAATCTTTATAATATGCTAAACAACTTCTTAGTTAGGATTATTTTGAAAAAGGAACACGAAAATCAAGTTTAGGAAAAAGGAACACATGGCTAAAGGTAGGCACATACCGCCTGCACAGTACCCTGATACCGCCAGGTATCATGGGATCGGACAGGGTACCAAGAAGGTCCAAATTCCGCCAGAGCCAAATGAGCATATGGCGGTACCCTTGGCGGTAGGCTGCACCGTGGCCACGGTACCTGGGTACCAGACGGTTTCTGCCTATTGGCACAGGTATCGGACCCGTTACAACACTGTTCCAAAATTTCATTTTTGAATTTAATTACCCCCTAATCACTCTCCAATGGCTCTTAACGAATCCTGAGCATTTTTAACTTTTCCTAATGCTATATAAACCCCCTCTAAGTCTCATTTTTTATACAACAACATCTCATATCATTTTAAAACCTTCTTATACTATTTTTGAGTGTTCTTAAGCCTTGTTCATAATTTTTCATTACTCTTTTGAGTTTGAGCTTTTATTATTTTTATACACTCACACACAAGGGCATTTGTGCTTCATTGTTTTATATCTTGCCTATAAGCTATTGTTGTTGTTGATTTCATATTTTGATCCTCCTACCCAATTCATATTGTTCATTCTTTGGTAGAGAATCAACACCATAGTTCTCTTGTTCTTCTCCTACCCAATTCATATTGTATTAAACACCCTAATTCACCCCCTCTTAAGGTGTAACTGAATATCAGAGATCAATATGTGAATTTGATATATCTATCAACCTTCGAGGCTTCGACCTCCTTCCGCCAGCGGCTACCACTATCATCTGACTCGTCTCCAAGTAAAATCATGATTTTGACTCTATCCAAACAACTCAATTTCAAATTTCAAAACTTACATCTTTTTATTAATTGCGAATCTCTTCAAACAACTCTATTTCAGATTTCAAAACTAATATCAATTTTTTTCACATTCCAGAACTCATATAATTCCTAACAGCATTGGAGGTCATCTGTCAACTAAATTCATGAAAAACTTAGGGTATGGCAGGGAGCTTACGGATGAAAGGCAGGAAAACGAAGAACAAAAGGAGGCCAGAATTTCCCTGGAGAAGCTGGTTGACGGGAGCGTAGAGAACTGTAGCGGCTGATACGACAGTGGTGAGGATGATCTGAGCGGAGAGGATACCGTAGACTTTGCGAATGAACCCCCATCGCAGCTGGTTCTCACCGTGACCTAGCCCTGGGTACAAAGTTCCCTCCTCAATATCACCTTTCACGCCTCCATCGTCGCTACTGCTGAGAACCTCAAATCCGTTCATCTTCTCCGGCACCTCTGTCTACGGTTCTAATTCTTCTCAGATTGTCGGCCAAGTTATCTCATGGGCTGCGAGGTGATGGGAATTTATACCGGCCGAGATAATGACGCGCTGGGTGGGACACTGCTACATGCGATTTATTTAAGGCTTTGGAACGCGTAAATACTCTCCCAAATAAAATTCATTTCTTTATTTTGACTTCATAAAATGTACTCTCTCCATCCGTCCCGTTTTAAATTACCTGTTTTAACTTTTGGATATATTTAAGGAAAAGAAAAAATAGAGTTGATTTTCCAAAATTGTCAGTATTTTTTAGGAGGGATAACGATGAATGAGAAGATAAAATAGAGAAGAGTGACTTATTTTAGAGGTAGTTTAGGTATTTTACTTTTAAAAGTTTACGAAAACAACTAACAGACAACTTATTTTGGGACGGAAAAAAAAGGCAAACATGCAATTTAAAATGGGACGGAGGTAGTAAGAAAAGTGTTAAAAATAAGGAGTATGTAAAATAATGAAAAGTTGAATAGATTTTTTTAAGAGAAATATTTTTTTAAACAAATATTCTTTTTTTAAGAACTGGGATTTTCTCTTTTTTTCATATGTCTCAATTTTTTTTTCATTTTTAATCAAAAAATCACTTTTACCTCAATTATCATATCATATATATTTACTAATTCGTAATAATCTACTTATTAAATCTTACTTTTACGCATCATATCCAATCCAGTATTATTTTTTAGAAAAATGTGGGAGGATCCCGAAATAGAGCATGCTACATATACCCAAAATTTGTACTTCCTCTGTCCCTGAGTGTTTGTCCACTTTCATTTTTACACATCATCCAATGCAATTCTTTAATCCATTTTATCTTGTAATTTGTATATTAAAAAATTATAAAAATTATATATTAATAATCTATATGTTAAGACGAATCAAACAAAATCACACATGACTATTTTTAGGCTTACACATTGAGAGAATTTGATAAGTTAAAATGCTTAGATGAACAGTTCCAAAAGTAAAAAGTGGACAAACACTCAGGAACGGATCAAGTACCACATTTGTACAGTAAAAGTATGCATTAATATTTTGATGGTTTACACTGACACATGGTGTTGGTGCGTTAACAAAAATTGTCACTGACACAAAATGTTATACGTTAACAAAAATTAGTTTTACACCAACACAAAATGTTAGTGTATCTCTGTAGTGTACAAAATGGGATACAAATTATTGGTACACATATGACATACCTTATCCTAGCTAAATAATTTTCTACTTCGTATTAGTTTATCGTATTTCCTCCTCCATCTATACGACCTCTGCCACTGATTGCTGCGCGGATCGCGATCTTTAAAAACAGACGGGCTCCGGCACTCCGCCGCCGCTTAGCGCCGCCCATTGATTCAGCACGCCGGTCGCCTCAGCAGTTAGCTTCCACCAAACGGCTATTCAACGGCTTACATTTTTCTTTTATGCTGGTAAAAACTCCATGTGCTTCTTACTTGACACTCGTTTGTGAATTCAGTGAATTGTATGTGTGTTTTCAAGGTAAATACTCCTTATTTGTTTAATTTTTTTTAGACAATTACGGAGTATCATTTATCAATTACTCTGTATGATTTTTGATATTTGAATTTGTTAGCTATGAATATGTAATTAGGTTAACCTTCATTTTTCACTATGGAAGTTTAGTTAATTTTTTTATTTATTTAATTATTAAAATTTTAATTGAATGAAAATGTTTAATTTTTATTTATTTAAACTTAAATTTAGGATGCAAAGAACAACAAGAACACCCCAGGGCTTCAAAGGCTTCACCCATTGCGATTAAGGGGTCAGATGTAGGCGTGTAGCAGCCTGACTATATGTTTAATACATAGAGCGGCTGTTTCCATATGGCCCACGATGAGCGTTGAAAGTTGCATTGAGTAACTGATACTTCAATGTTAAAATAAGTGCAAATATTTAAAAAGTCATTTTGTTTTATTTTATCATACCCTAAAGCCAAACCATAATGAATCTTTGGCTCCACCGGTGATGATAGATAAGAAAATTAGGATGCAAAGTTATTTTAAAAAGATGCCAAGATTCAAAGAGCTTGAATCAAGTGAGGATCTTTCTAACTCGAATTTGAGTGCTTCTTCGCCTTCAAATAAATTGTTAGAGCAGAACATTGGTGAATCCAAAACCCTATTTTATGAAAAATCACCAATGATATGTGAAGATAATCTTGATTTTGAATTATTAGAAGTTCATCTGGGGTTAAGAAAGCAATTAATAGATTATCATCCACTTTTAAAATATGAAAATTAGACGCCACCAATTGTAAGATGTGTTTTATATGCGCAATATAAGAATGCTATGGAGTATTTAGTTTCAATTGATCTCAGAAAATTCACATTATATGTAACCTGTAATTATATGGATCAGTCTTTTACTAATGTTCAACATGTGGCCTGTGGATACATATTTTCATGTATACACCAACAAAAACAACAAAGCCTTATCCCACTAGGGCGGGATCGGCTACTACGGGACACCATGAAAAAATTCTGGATCAACCTCTCTCCGTAGTCACATCTGCCGACCTCTTCCAAACCCATAACCCAGCTTGCATAATGCTGGAATTAACTCACTAACACTACCGGAGTCTGTGCATCCATGGCCTAGGCCATTGACCTCATTCCATATCAACCAACAATTTGCCACGTGGAGCGCCCTACATATGCACATGTGTCCCTGTCCTCCAACTGTTATCTCCCCCGGTTTGGCCTGTATGGAGATTCACTGATTCGATTGCCTTCTTTGGATTATCCATTTCGTGAATTTGTTGGTGTTTTTTGTTAATATTGATTTTTGCATTAGTGAGTTGTTTAAGAGGATTAGGCAAATTAAGATTCTCTCAGTTTTGTTTTGTGCTTCCAGTATGATTGGGCTTTTTGATGATTGGAAAAAATCCCACCATTCCTCTAGGGTCTGCTTGTGCGTTTGGTTTTGGAGCGCCAAGTGTAAAACATATGAGTACATATTTAAGGATTTATACAGACAGATGGAAATAACATACCCCCTCTTTGTCTGGATTTAGTTGCTCACTTTCTAATTTTGTTATGCTATGTTTGTCTCTCTAGTGCTTAGCATTTTTAATAATCAAATTATGAAATTATTGGGAGTTATAAAAATACTCCATAGTCCTTAAAGATCATATTAGCAATTTAGCATTGTTTCCATCAATGAGAACATGGTAATTTGGATTTTTTTTTAGTATTTTACATCCAATTCTTTACATTTGAGATATGTTAGATAGTAGGAAACTAAACCCGGGCAGAACGAGTAATATGTTACGGAGTACAATACTTCATTCACCCTTTATTCATTTTTAGAAACGTTCCATTTATCAATGTTCAAACTAAGCCCCCGGTGGCTTCCTCTCCACAATCCTCCATCCAAGCATACCCTTAATGTTTATCATTGATACCCTTAAATACGTCAGCATTTATATTGGTTTGTTAATGATCTTATAACTAAAGTTGGCTGGTTTGTTGTGATTCATTGTCTCTTTTCTGTGTCTGGTTGTGGTGCTTTGTATTCACACATAGAGAAGCAGAAGGGGAGAGGGTAGATTGAGTTGATTACGTTAGTAGAAAGAATGGATCAGAAAGAAGCAATGCCAGAGGTCAGTGCATCGTTGGAGAAACGACCCGGAGTCCTCATTGTTGGAGCTCCCAACGTTGGCAAACGTTCTCTCCTCTCTCGTAAGTCTTTATATCCCTCTACTCTCTCTCTCTCTCTCTCTCTCTCTCAGGAATACAGTTAGTGGCACAATGTATGCATGGTTCTGCACTGTTTGGTAGAATTTCAACGAGGTCAAATTTGAACCTTAGCTTCGCATAATTGATATTCTAATGGTTTAATTTGCTTGCAATATGTGGGCTCACATAAACTGATATTCTAATGGTTTAATTTGCTTGCTATATGTGGGCTGTAGCAGTTCATGGTGAAGGGACATTGTCTGAATTGCAATATGTTAATGTGAGGGTGTTATTGGTGTGGTGTGCGCTCTGTCGAGCTCGTTTGGGGGTTTCCCTTGAAAATAAAACTTGGGGAAATCCATGCAAAGTAGTTTCTATGGAATTATTTTTCTGGAAAAATAAAATGATGCTTTTGAGTGTTGTGGGGTAGTAGAACTAAATGCCATGAAATATTATTTGAAAAAAAAATAGTCATTTAAAAAATTCACAGGGGTATCTCATTCAATAAAGAAATTGTTTTCCCTACTCATGAGACCCACCAACTGCAGTAAAATAATCTATTCTTTAGGGAAAAGGATGAAAACAAACACCATTTACCTCTGAACTTGCAAGTTATTCCATTTAACCCCCTTGCTTTCTTTGGGGAAAAGGATGAAAACAAACACCGTTTAACCCTCTTTTGTCTCCTTCATGGCTCCACTCTTAATGTAGTGAGGCATCCTCCATGATGTTGGCTGTGAACCGCCACACTAATTAGGCGATGCCATGACAACTATGAACTTAATCCCGAAGGGCAGTTTTCATATATTTAATAAGTGTCCCTAAAATTATACTTGTACTTTGTTTTGCTTCGTATGCATATCTTAATTAGGAATAATTACAATCATTGATCTGTTATCTAAATTGTAAATTTGAGGTATATATAGTTTTTAAAATATTTATGCTTTTATTTGGCTGTCAATTTCAATATTTTGATGAAGTGGGGTCATTTGATCTGTTTTCAGCATTTGAAAGTGTATATATAGTAAGTTTTTTTGCTACTTTTCTTTGTTACTGTTTTCCCATTTCACCAAAAGAGGAATCTAGCAATTTAGGTAGTCTCTTTTGCTGGAAATTTGTCTCATGAGAGCCATTTTTTCACTTTGTCAATGCATAATTTGCAGGACTACTTTCAATTGATTTAGAAGACACACCAGACACATCATCTGGCTTACTTGCCTTTGGGTAAGTTTATAATAGGCCTTGCTCTTTATACGGTGACACACTTCTTAAAAGAAGAAAAGAAATGTTCCAACCCTGCTTTGGGTTATCTTCAGGTGGTCAATCAACACGAAATACTACACAGCTGATGTTTGTGTTTGGTTGGCCAATCTTCATGAAACGTTTTCAGTCAGGGCTCTTCCAATAGTTGATCAGTTGGCTGCTTTGGTGATGGTTTTTGATATAAGTAATGTCAGTCTCGCCCTTTCCTTTTTATCAAAGTTATGGAAACATCACTGTTATGAATGGACTGTGATATATTGAACCCATGACTCTGCAATGGCCATCTGCAGGTTTCATCTTTTCATGAACTTAAAGAATGGGTCTCTCACAATGATATCCAGAAGTTTGATATTTTGTTATGCATTGGCAATAAAGTGGACCTTCTTCCCGGTCATTCAGCTCACATTGAGTACAGACGCAAGTTGCTGAAATGTGCAGATTCTTCGGGTAGTTCTTACACTGAAATGTTAGACTCTGGTATTGACGAGACAGAAGGGAGTAGTCTATTGGGCGATGATGAATCTTCCTGGGAGATTAAGCAAGACTGCATGAAATGGTGCGTCGAACACAACATTGAATACGTTGAAGCATGTGCATCAAATGTTGAATTCGATAAGTGTAAGCTTTACATTATTTTGTGCATTAATGCCTGGTAAATGGTAATTTCCAAAGACAAAATGAACCGTAATCAAATGCCTATGTACTGTAAATTTACACTAAAAATGTACTCTCCGTGATCTAATAAATTTCCCACTGTGCTTAACTGCTGATACTACAAAACATATCTAGTTTCATTTTAGTGGTTCTCTTTGACTTTTTGTAAACCAATTCTCATAAACTGATAACAACTTATTTGTAGATTCCAATTCAGTCAATTAACACATCTAAGAATGGAGGGAATATTTGAGTGCATTTCATTATGACTGGCCAAACTACTCCTTAGCTCTCTTTCCTTACAAGGCACCCATTGGTTTACATTTATAAAAGCTCTTGCTATCATTGAGTGGTTATAAGGGGAATAAAATCATTGCAGGTTTATCTGTTGATGGTGATTCACAGGGTGTCGAGCGACTCCAAGGGGCATTGTCAGCATATATGTGGCCCGGAATGGTACTGAAATCTGGTGATATAATACATGAACCTTCATTACCACAAGAGCAAGGTTTTGTTTTCTTCTAATGTTTTTTACTTGCTTTTTTATTTTCATTTTTTTTTATATTTACCTTTGTATAGAGAACCGAGTAGTGAAAAGGGAGGATGCTTTTGTATTCCTTGCTTAGAGATAAAGAAATAAAACTTCACAATAAATTTAAAAAAGGGTGTAAATGGAAATACAATTATTGACAGGCCAACATCCATCACATTAGTCGTCTTCTTTCTTAAGTCATACCCTCAAGTTAAAACTTCACATTAGATAAAAAGGGGGGTGTAAATGGAATTACAATCATTGACAGGCTAATTTTCCCTTAGTCTTTTCCTTTCTTAAGTCGTTTGTGGAGAGAGAGGAAAACTTATGGGTCCCACTTTTCACTTTATATCTTCTTCTTTTTTCTCTAAAAAAACACACAAATTAGCTCTTGTCTTTCTATCTTCTCCTCTCCAATTCTATTGAAACAAACAAATCCTTGGTGTTTTTGTCACTACTTTTCAGATGTGTCAGATGACGAGTCTGAGTACGAACTGGAATATGAAATCCTATCCGCTGGTTCAGCCGAACCATGGGACAATGCAGATGAAGACTGGGTATCCGCAGACGGTCCCGTTGCAACAACAGGGACGACCGAATCCAGCAAACCAAAGGAGAATGGCCGCGAAGGCAACAGTGAAATCATTATCAAAGGAGAACATGAGCCTCCTTCGGAATCAGAATCAGAATCAGAGACGCCAGGAAAGGATGGAAGTGATAAAGGCGCGACATACAAATTTGAGGATTTGGAGCAGTTGATGGGTGAGATTGGGAACGTGCGTGACAGCTTGAGGTTAATGCCGGATTTCCAGAGGAGGGAGATGGCGGCGAATCTTGCCATGAAAATGGCTGCCATGTTTGGGGATGACAGTGGAGATGAAGGGCTGGACTGATCCCAGAGTGTGTTCTTGTAAGCATTTCTCATTTGACATTGCACTAAAGATCTTATGAATACACTACCACACCAAGTCCTCATTTGTTCAACCATGGGAGTCAAAATCATCATTGGCCTTATAGTCTTTTGCTGATTTTCAAAAAAGGAGCCAAGTCAATACTAATGTATGTTTATTTGACATAAAATTGTGACATTTTAATGTGCACTTTAGTCATCAATTGGCATGTACTATGTAGTTATATACTCTGTTAGTTTTAGTTTTCCAATTTTTTTGTTTTCATTTGACTCAATTGCCAACGGCTGTATTTGTAGCAATTTCAGTGATGTCCACCCCTTCGGGGTGACACCCTCGCCATAAACCGATGTAATACCAGTTGGAGCACAATAAGGGAACCTTCAAACTATATCATGTGCACATACCGACATTGGGCGTCCATGTCCCAGAGAGTGTCTTGATGTCTATAGAACTTTGTGGGTCATAGTGTGGCTGGATACTAATTTTTCATTTGTTTCGGAATCTCCCTTGCACGCCCAGTCAAGTGATTTGTTAATGTCCATGACAATCGCATGTCGTTCTTTTATACATACATACATACATATATATATATATATATATATATAAGGGCCAGTTCTGGTGAGAATGCACCTTGGTGAAAAAATAAGAATAAAATCTAGCATTTGGATCTGAAGCATCGTGCAGCTCAAATTGCATCTTGCGCTCAGATTTTGAAATAGTGCATTTTCAAAGGAGTTTAGTGCATTTCGACATGACGTATTTTCAAACCATTTTGGTGCACCTAATTTTGATGCAATCCTGATCCTTAGATCTTACAATCTAAAACATCATATTCATTCTGATTTCTTTCATAAGATCGCATTCGCACTAAACCAAAATCTATGTATACCAATTCAAAATATTCAAATTGATCTAATAGGACGCGTTTAACGTAATATTTAATCTATTTCAAGAATTCCTAATATCATCACTTATCCGGCCAAATAGCTCCGGTGCCCCTGTGGTTTGGAAAATTGGCACCAATACCCCCTCTATTTTCAAAACTTATTTCTAAAATTCTCGTGGTTTCAAAATGCTGCACCCGTGCCCCCTCTAATCATTTTCCGGCCATTTTCCGGTGAAGAGGGGGCATTTGCGCATAATTTTTAAACCATAAGGGGTATTCGTGCTCATTTTTTATTTTTTGTTTATTATTTGTATTTTTCTTTTTTAAATATTTTCTATCTCTTTTTTCTTTTCCTAGTTTTTTTTCTAATTTATTTTCAATTTTTTATAATGTTTTAAAATTTTAAAATTTTTTGTTTTTGAAATAAAAATAAAAAAGTTAACATACATTACATCTATTTGAAATTAAACATTTTCACTTTTTGTTACGTACTTATTTGGAAAGTTCAAAAAGAAAAACCTAGAATAAAAAAATAAAAATATGGAAAAATAAAATGAAAAATAAAAATACACAAAAAAGTCTGATACAAAAATGAACAAGCCTAAAAAAATTCTTAGAATTGAGATGTTCGAAAAATATATTCATTTTTATTTTTCTATTATTTTGTTTCTTATTTTATTCGTCATTTTTTTGAAATTCTCCAAAAAAAAAAAAATCAGAAAAAACAAAAATTGTTGATTTGAGAAGTACATATACATTATATGTTACGTAGTAATTTTTTCAAACAAAAATAACTTTAAATTTTATGAGCATTATAAAAATAATTTTAAAAAACCTTTATTAATAAAAGTAACAAATAAAGGAAAAAACAAAAAAACAAAAAAATTAGCGAGAAATAAATATCAGCACCGATACCTCTTGTGCTTTAGTAAATATGCATCAATGCCCCTTTCTTCGCTGGAAAAATGGCCGGAAAATGATCAGAGAGGGCACAGGTGCAGCATTTTGAAATCACAAGAACTTTAGAATTAAATTTTGAAAACAAATGAAATTTTGGTGCCTATTTTGCAAAGTACTATGGTACTGGCGCTATTTGGACTCACTTATCCCTTAGGAAGGAAGTAGGGCTTGAATTTGTAAATTGCAACTTGTGACCATTCCGGCTCCACGCCCAATAATACACACCACCACTCCATTTTTTTATTGTTCGGGCCCTAACCGCGCCACCGTCTGCGGCGTCGCCTTACTGAATCCACCGGCAACCCCACACCTTCGTCCTCAGCACAAGGCTGAGCTTGGAAAGCAAACGGAGGAAGGAGGAAATGACCCGGCAATCAAACTCTCCGCGGCTCTGATCTCTCCGGAAGCTTTGCACGGAATTCTAAAAATTCTCACCTTGCCCTCACTTGTCGGCTATCAAATTCACTACGTATCATTACAATGAGGGAAATTTTGGGCACCTGAGCTAGCTGTGGTTTACAAAATCAGGTAGGTTTGTGGAAAATCTTCACTAATTTTAGGGTCCAGAAACACAAAACAGATCGTGTTCTACTTAGCCGATATTTGGAAAGTGAAACCCCCCAAATGTTTCTAGTTTTAGGGAACAATTGCTAGGCCTGTAGGAAGTTTCCATTTTGTTTGAGCCGTTTATCATACCTACACCATTGAAACTGTTTCCTTTTCAATTTCAGTTAATTAACTTGTATGTTAGCGGAAGTGTCTTCTTATAAGTTGGATAGCTAAAGTTTGTTTTTTTTTTGTCTATTTCGTGTGTGGATCTGGTCTTCTTGAGAGTCTGGTCTTTTCAGTTTATTTAGAAGACTGTCGAAAGCATATATAGATTGTTTCATTTTGGAGTTAATTCTTGTGTGTCTTTGGCAAGGAAAAGCACCAAAGTTCCCTTTCTGCCAAGGGCAAGAGGGAATCCTACTTTGGCAAGGGCAAACATGAACCATACACTTCCCAGCCTGATGCCCTTATCATGATCACCCAACCGTTTGTGGCGGAGCAATCTTTATTTAATTCAAGACCAATAATAGCCCTTGAAAGATTTGTATCAGGTCATCAACACAGTCCAAGGCATGATTTTGGACCTGCGAATTCATGTTCCTTCTTTTCCGCCTCCTTATTGTTGCTCCTCGCCCCAAAAACTATTTTAAATATGGAAGCTAAAGCTCCTGTGCATATAGTGTGGACCTTCATAAGTCATAACAAGGTTGGACTTTGATGAATTGTGCCAGACTGCCCAGACGCTGGGGCCCATTACTAGAGATTGTGTAAGTTCGACCCACTTGTTGATTATTTTCGTTACAATGATTCGGTTTCATTGTGGAAAATATTGGCATCCACAAGGGGGGTAATGATATGAGCATGTCTTGTTCTAGCGTTCTAAAGCCGTGTAGAAGGAACAAAGAGAGTATTGCTGAAGGAGTATTTATCTTATATCTGTTACATTATGTTACATTACACTTCAACGTTACCTTACTTTGCTTTGCAAACACTATGAATAGAGGCCTCTATTCATCAATAGTTTTGGAATTAATCTGGGTATCTTCTGCAAGGCCTAGCACCAAAGTTCTCTTAGGGAGAGAATGTTACCTTGCCAACATCAACAAGTGCTTTATCTTAATAGCTCTCCTTTTCTTCTCCCAACCACATTCTGAAAGTTATGTTTACTCTTGAAATGTTTTCTTTGCCATTTTTTTTGTTTGTTTTACTTTAGCTTCGAGTACAAATTTACTTTTAGTGAATAACCTGGTGTTTACCATAGGTTTTAGCTTTTGCCATATGCCAAATCGGTAGTGACAAAGGGTTCAAGTTTACCTTGAAAGAGCATTCTGATGGTCATGTGTTGACCTTCCTAACATTCAGTTAAGCGCNCCCCCCTCTTTCTCTCAATTTGGAATTTGGGAAGCATTTGTGGAAGTGTAGATGGTGGCGGATGGGATTTGACCGAATGATGCGCTGCAGGGTCAAGATAGAAACCTCAAATTTAGCCATTAGCATCCCAAATATCAATTTGAGTTCTTTGAATTGTGTGGGTAAACCCGTCATGGACTCCACAAGTCCACAGTGGATTCCAATCGCTAGATGGAGGATTGTACAACAACAAGAAGCTCGGTAAATCCCACAAAAGTAGGGTCTAGCCGTCTAGGAGGGTGTGTACACAGACCTTACCCCTACGGCCCTACTCAGAAATAGAGAAACAGTTTCCAAGAGACCCCTGGTTCAGATCATAGAAACACTGACAAAGAAAACACTCATCCACACTAGCAACAAGACCCAAAACACAGAAAGAACAAATACCCAAGCTACGGATGAAGGTACAAAACATCACAGACCAAGGCCCAAAGGTCGAACCAGCTACTCTAATCCTAGATCTCCATGCGGCCTTATCTAAGGCTATATCTTTGGTAAGATCATGAAGTCGTAAGTTATGTCTAATCACATCCACTAGTGCAAGCTTCTCGCATCTCCTCTCTGCGCTTCTCCTCCACATGCGCAAAGCCTTCAAATTTCCCATGACAGTTGGCAACATCACCGAGATGCTATGTTCCTGGGCAAACTGACGAGCCACAGGGCGTCCCCTTTGACGGGAAGATTCAATGCAGCAGTCAAGCTCCCCAAAGACTCTGCTCGGGTTTTGATGCAAACTCCAGGGAAGAGGACCTGCAGGCAGGAGGCTACGGTGTTCCTGGAATTCCTTGAAGATAACATGCGGAATTGCAAAGGTAAGATAGGAGAACAGGGAGACGATTACAGCAGGGAAGAAGAAGAGAGAAGAGTTTTGGAGGGGTTATATTAGAACCCTAACTATCTTCATTAATTTCCTAAAACTCTTCTCCAAGTGGAAGACAATTCTTTAAATAGAGTATAGTGATCCTGACAAAAACAAAAAACCCAGTATAATTCCAAGATGTACGCAACTTTATCCCGTAAAAAGAATATAAAGGTTGTTTCCATTAGATCTGTGATGCATATTTATTTCCCAAAGCATCATAAATTAGGAAGCAAGAAAAGTTTAATGTGCCATTTTGATCTAGTCCATTATTTTCTTGAAACTAAAAAATCCTAAAAAATGAGTTTTAGACTTAAGAAACCAGTATATTAGGAAACAAAAACAATTCTCAAAGAAAGGAAACTAAATACAAATAGGAAACTACTGCTAATAAGTAACAACAACAACGACAACAATCTCTCGTAGTCCTCTACTACTATTCCATGAGCCCTTAACTGCATTTGTTTATAGTTAGACAGTATAAGTGGTCAAGGGTTCTAGTCCTGATGCATCGACGCACAATTTTTTATATTACTTCTTTCATAACTTTTTTAGTAAGAGTGGGGTTAGCTGATTTTTAGTGATCTGATTTATTTCAGCATCACTAAAAAAAAAGTTTGACACCCCGGCACCTCAGTCATAGTGTAACTTGGCCACCAAAATGGAAGCCTTAATTCTATTTATTGTCTAGGACATTTTATACTTGGATTTACTTTCTCTTAAGAAGGAAAACAAAATTTTGCGAGTTTTTATCTTCTTGATACATTTATGATGGAAATGGTGTATTGAGAATGGAAAAGAATTTGACTTTCTTCTTTTTAAACAACAATCTATATACATTAAAGATGTTTAGACATTAAGCAACAGAAAGCTATTGACCTATTTCTTTCATTAAAATTGGTTCTATGGTTGTGAAAATTGTGTCCCTTTATTAAGTCATCATTGAGACCACTTCTTAGAGGGAACTTTGGGTTTTAAAAGAACTTTGAAGTGAGCCATGCTACTAGTGTACTTGAGCATTTACTGAACATATTCATTTTATTTTATTTCAATTCAAAATAAAAACTGGAGCTGCCTAAATAGGCAGAAAAGGATGCCATTTTGGCCGCTGGGTTTTGTTCTATCATTGCACCCAGTAAAACTTGTTCTAATTTACCCTAATTATGTTGTTTCTATTTTTATGTGTCAGATGCTGATAGTATGAATATAGAAGACTTAGGGAACAAAATGACTGTAATAGCGAAGCCAACAGATTCAGCTTTTCTTAAGAGCAATGCCCAAAACAACGAAGGAGAGTCTGAAGTTGAACCATCTATCGGCTTGGAATTTCGTTCATCTGAAGATGCACAGGAGTTTTATAATTTCTATGCAACAAAAGCTGGATTTAAGATCAGAATCGGGCAGCTGTACCGATCCAGAATTGACGGCTCTGTAATCTCCAGAAGATTTGTGTGTTATAAGGAGGGGTTTCAGACCAATTCAAGAGTTGGCTGTCCAGCTTTCATAAAGGTAAAGAAAGATGATTCTGGGAAATGGGTCATATGCAGTATCAATAAGGAACACAATCATGAGCTCCATTTCTCAGGTGATATTTCTCCCACACAAACTCAAAAAAAAATCTCTCCCACTCCAAGATCGTCTACAGTGATCTCAGCCAGGACAGGTCTTAGATCACTTGATGAGGATGGACCGTCCAGATTGCTTGATGCTAAACGCTTTAGAAGGGATGAAGAAGTTGGTGGGGAACCTAAAGGTGAAGAACCATGCAAGGGTCTTGAATTCGCTTCTGCTAATGAAGCATACAAATTTTACAGCACATACGCTGCTAAAACAGGGTTTAAAGTGAGGATAGGCCAGCTGTTCCGTTCCAAGCTCGACGGATCAATCACATCACGGAGATTTGTGTGCTCCAAAGAAGGACATCAGCACCCTTCAAGACTTGGGTGTGGGGCATTCATGAGGATACAAAGGCAACCGTGCGGGAGATGGATGGTCGACCGCCTTCAATCCGAACACAACCACGAACTTGCCCGCCCAACTACTTCGGCTGCATTCAAAGAGGAAGCAAGCATCGGGTTGGATAATTTGGAATTCATTGATTCGAATGGTGACCTCAACATCGTCCTTCGTGATCGTGAAGCCAAAACCGGAAGCGATTGGTAATGTAAAATAACAAACTACTATGTATACTGATAAGACTCTTGATGTGCACTTTCATGATAGCTAGAGGCTATTACAATGTTTATTTAAAAGAATAATGTGTTGAAATTAAACCCAGTTTGGATAGGAAACATAAACCCTAAACTACTAAATCTACGATTGTTTTTACTGTATTCATATACAATTACTTTTCTATTTCAACAGGTACAATGTGCTTCTAGACTATTTCCAGAACCGGCAAGCAGCAGACACTGGCTTCTTTTATGCAGTCCAGATGTTGGATGGTAGAGCTAATCTTTTCTGGGCAGATGGACGGTCCAGATTCTCCTGCACCCAGTTTGGAGACGCTGTTGTGTTTGACACCACTTATAGGAGGGGTAACCATTCTGTTCCGTTTGCCTCTTTCATTGGGGTTAATCATCACAGGCAACCTGTACTCCTTGGATGTGCCTTGATTGCTGACGAATCTCCAGAGTCGTTCTCTTGGGTGCTCCAAATGTGGCAAAAGGCCATGTCTGGACGCCGTCCGGTGTCTATCATAGCTGACCAGGACTGGCCCATTCAACATTCCATAGCTCAGGTTTTTCCTGGGACACACCACAGGCTTTCAGCATGGCAATTCTTTTCAAAGGAACAAGAACACTTGGGTGCTTTACTCTCTCTGGACCCACACTTTAAGTTTGAGTGCATTTACCAGAGCCATACGGCTCACGAGTTTGATGCAGCCTGGAACATTCTCATCAACAAATACAACCTGAAGGACAATGCTTGGTTGAATGATATGTCGAGGATGCGCAAGAGTTGGGTTCCTTTGTACATAAAAGCCACGTTCTTTGCTGGCATACCCGTGGGGGGTAGCCTGAATTCGTACTTCTGCTCTTATCTGTCACCCCAAACGCCTCCCAACGAATTCATTTCCTGTTATGAGAAAGCCATTGAGGAACGGCGAGATGAAGAAAGGAGAGAGGATTTCGAGTCCTTGAATCTGGCAACGTCCATACACACAAAAGACCCCATTGAAGAGCAATGCTGGAGGCTATACACCACGGCAATCTTCAAAGTGTTTCAGAAAGAGCTCTTGGAGTGCTTTAGCTACGTGGGGTTGAAGATAAACGTCGAAGGTGCCATTACTAGGTACATGGTCCAGAGGTGTGGGCCCAGCTCAGATGATCGGAACACGGTTGCCTTCAACGCATTGAATCTCAATATAAGCTGCAGTTGCAAGATGTTTGAGTTTGAAGGGATACTGTGTAGGCACGCCTTGAAGGTTTTCCAGATAATGAACGTGAGAGAAGTCCCGTCGCGATATGTCTTGCACAGGTGGACAAAGAAGGCGAAACATGGTGTCTTAAGGGATGTGGAATCCGTGGGCGGGTCCCAGCAGGATCTTAAAGCGCTGATGCTGTGGAGTCTGAGAGAAGAAGCCAATAAGTTCATCGAGACTGCGGCGACTAGTTTGGAGAGATACAAACTTGCTTTTGAGATCATGCAGGAGGGTAACAAAACCCTCAGATGGCCAAGCTAGGAAGGGAAGGATGTTTCCCATAGATCAGGTATATATATATATATATATATATATATATATATATATATATATATATATGTATGTATGTATTGTAACTCTCTTGAAGAAACAACATAATCTTACTTTTTAAGTCTAAATGTCATTAATTTATATGCTATGTTTTTTTCGTGTGCAAATTGTATATGCTGTGTGTTGCAAAAAAAAAACCTTTATGCAAACAAATTAAGATTGCTCTAGTGTGCGTGTCTTTTCTAATTGAGATGTATTCCTTAAATACTCCTATGTCAAAAATGCATATTTAATGATAGTTAAATGGAGGGCATTTTTGTATTTTTCATCATTTAAATTATGAATAACTCCTCAAAATGGCTCTTTCAAATTTTAAATTAAGTGGGTGGTTGCTTGAAGAACGTATAACTCCAAGAGTAGGCCCATGGACTTCATTTTGGGGAAAACATTCACTTACGGAGTAGTATTTATTACTCCGTAGTTTGAAAAAAATGTTTAATTATAAAGGAGCGTTTCGAGAACATATTTTAAGTCAATATGATAGAAAATATCAAAATAACCTCTATTTGACTAGCATTTAATAGACATTTTTTATGGAGAATTATTTAAGGTATAAATCTCAATTACAAAGGAATATGTTAGTAATTATTACTTATTGAAGAGTAATTTGCGAAAACATTTTATTAGAAAAGACCTTTGAGAATTCATTAGAGCATGTGCAATGGCAAGAAAGAGGGATGCCTTGCACTGCCACATCAGCTTCTTCCACTCATATCATGGCATGGCAAGGCCAAAATGCCTTGCTTAGTGAGGCATGAGTGTGGCACTTCATACTATTTTTTTTCTTTTTTTAAAATAATTTTTTTTAAAATTTTTATGAAAAAAAAATGTACAAGAAAGTAGAATGATTTTTTAATAAAATAAATAATAAAAATATTTTTTTTATGTTTAAAAAACATAAACAAATGTAAAAAAGTGATAAAAAATAATGACTTGCCATTGTAGGACTTGCCATTTCATTTATTTGTCACACGCTGACAAAACTATTTTTGATTGGTTAAAATATTCCATGTCACCGTGTGATATTCCATTTTCGTCTTGTCATTGTTGATGCTCTTAAAAAACTCCGTATATGACATGTAGGGCCGGGGACACGCGACAATATTATTAGATGATGTGCTACTATGCCCGCAAAGAACAACATGATGAGATTTTCATAATTAAGGCTTCGTTTGGTGGGGGTGAAAGAAAAGAAATTACGGAGTCAAAAAAAAAAAAAGAGAAAAGAAATTGTAGTGAATGAAAGATGTGCCCACATGTTGAGACTAAGCAATAGTGCTCTCTTTCCCATACATCTTTTATGAAAACTCTCATGGCCTGTTTTGTACACCAAATTCAAATTATGAAATTAGAATTAAGAACTTCAATTCTAATTCTGGTATTTGGTAGCACAAAAATTATGTGGACTTGAAATTGGTAGTGCAAAAAAATGAATTGGAATTGATGAATTCAATTCTATGAAATTAAATCCCATGGAATTTTCAATTCTAATTCAATTCCAATTCTATCAATTCTATGTACCAAAAGGAGCCTCATTGTATTTAGACTCCTATGAAAAAGAGAAGAATTAATCTAGGGATACACGAATATGAGGTACCTCATTTGTATACTAAGCTAACACAGGACAGACACAGTCATATAATGTTTGTGCCTGCACATACATTTTGTATTTGTGCCTGCACGTACATATTGTGTGTCCTAAAATGTTTGACACATTACGCAAAATGAAACAAATTTTTAAATTTATTTATTTTAGGATTGGTATAGAAATCAAGGTTAAATTTACATATTAAAAGTTTATGTCAAAAGTTCTTCATAACAAGAAGTAACTATAATACGGAGTATTTTATTTAATCAAATAATCGATGAAAACGTACAAAGAAAGAAAGGTATACATAAAAAAATTTCAATCTTAAAATATAAAATATTACTCCGTATATTGTTATACCAAATCTTACGTACAACTTTTTTTCTTTGTAAATAATTTTTTTAAATTCATTTTATTTTTGGTTAAAAAAATTTCAAAACAAATATGGAGAAGAGTATATTTTATTTTATAAAATAATCAATAAAAATATATAAATAAAAAAAATTTGCGTAATTTTTTCCCTAATACTACGTAGTCAATTGTAATAGTCAATGATTTGGACGCCTTCAATGATTTGGTTGACGGGATGGAACCCTGCATTACGGAAATCTTTGAAACGACAACGAAGCATCAAATCCAAAGACAAAGAGAGAAAAAAGTTATACCCAACTCTGTGCCAATGGCGACCACTGAGACTCTGCCCTTCTGAGGAGGCCATGTTTTTGCGTGATAAAGAAAAAGGGGAAACGGAGAAAATGGGGTCAACACTCAAGCGATTCCCTTCACTTTTCTCTCCGTTTTTCTTCTTCAAACCCATCGGAGTCGCAGGCGGTCCCCATCAGCACAGGCGGTAGGCAATCTGGATCGGAGAAGAAGATCTGATGGAGCAATTCGTCAATAACATTATACGGCCGCCCAGGTAAGAGAGACGAAACCCTTTTCTACATTATCTTCACCCTCCCAGGAATCGCAGTCTCCGTGCATCCGTGTATATGTGTCTTAGCTTGTTTGTAGAGAGTTCAGATTTTTATAAAGTCTGAATCGTTTGGAAACATGTGATTTTGAGCTTGATCATGGCTATATAGCTCTGGTTCTCCTCTTTGTGGAGCACTCTTAAAAAGCATTGGAGGTTTGTAATGGCTTGCTGAACTTCTCTGTTGTAGTTGGAGTGTAAGAGATTACTACCCACATTTGAGTCTAGTACTCTAATTCTAAAGAAAAATTTCTCAAGTTCAGCTGCTCTAGTAATCCATTTGATCTTGAATTTGATGGAAATGTGGGCATCCAGTTACTAGTCTAGTTTATGATGACTACAAGTCTAGAACAACTTGACACTTTCCTAAAATTAATTGAGTGTTTGCAGCTGGGATTTTTTGAAGCAGGCCTATACATTCTTTTCCTTGGTGTCTATAGTTCAAACCGTATAATTTTACTGCATAAGTTTGATCTGGGAGTGAGGCTATCACATATGGAGTAGTATTTAGATGCTTGAAGGTATCTATATGCATGGTTGGATCGTGTAGTCATAAAACACTTTTTCACTCTCCCTCTCCCTCTCCTTCTGTGTGTGTAGTTGGAAAGCCCAACTACTCTTTTATGGAGTATTATATCTCATGTTGTTAGCATTGACATTCATTTTCCTTATAAGTACAAATTGGATTCCAACCTACTTCTGTCAGATTACATATAAGTGTATAAAATGACTAAATTATTGATTCCATATTTTCCTCTGTTTTTTGCCATAATAAAGTTGATCTGGTATTGATGAGTTAACCTCTACTGGACTCCAGAGCTGAATATGATCCCACAAATGATTTACTAGATGAAAAGTTCATGCTTAAAGGAAAATGGTACCAACGCAAGGATTTGGAGGTACATTTCATTAACTGATTGCACAACTCTTCTATTTTCAAGCTGAAAACTCGTCATAACCCTAGAGTTTATTTAGGAAAGTAATATTTCATCTGATTATGTACAATATCGGTTCTTTTTAAATAGCCAATATGTTTAGGAATGGTAGATTATTATTGAAAGAACTTTTCCATCAAGTGTCTGTTGTTTTTCAGAAGTTGGAATTTAGCTTAAGATTATTTTTCAACTTGAATTGGATGTGTTTTATACCCTGTGTCCTGTAGGTGTTGCTGTATCCTTTTATATCTGACTGACATCTGCAGCTTGGTGCTCCAAATTTCACTTATCAGCATTTAATTGAATACTATGACCATTTACAGGTCAAAAACACACGTGGTGATGTTCTTAAATGTAGCCATTACATGCCAATCAAATGCCCTGAAGGAAAGCAGTTGCCATGCGTTGTATACTGTCATGGAAATAGGTAAATGAAACCATGTAATTGAAAAAGTGATTTTGTGTGGAAACCCCTGATCTATGGTTCAGACCGATGATTCAGGATACGTAAAAAACTAAAAATTGATGTGATCACTACCTTTGTGTTTGCCAATGTAGTGTGACTTATGAGTAATACAGTATCTTTTAGTGCTTTATTAGTTGCTTTATCTTTGCATGAATGTTTTATGAATTAGTAAATGTCGAAAAAAACTTCATGGCTCATTTACCGATAAAAAAGATGGTCATTGTAAGTATCTTAAATCATCTAGGTCTGATGATATTTTTCATGAAAGTTGAATTTTTCTATGATGATAATGATTGTTGTAATCTCATCTCAGTATTCCTTCTCTAGAAGACAGTAAGGGCATCTGACCTAAAACTTTGCCACTATATACACATACAGTATATTTTTTTACATTAATTTAGGCGTTGGGAATTTCATGCCACTGACAGCAATGTAGTTGGGATTGAGGTGGTGATTATGACCTGACCTCGAAAGAGACATTGCTTTCAATTGAATGGGTGATTGGGGGGGGGGGGGTGGTCATGGGAAGTCATTATTGGTTTACAATGTAGAATGCTAGAAGATATTATAAGAGCTTCTGTGTCCCTAACTCCTTTGAGTTTTTGTGCATGTGTCCATTTAATACTTGATACTAACTACTTATTTGTTATGATCCTCTCTCAGTGGTTCTAGAGCTGATGCCAGTGAAGCCGCCATAGTTTTATTGCCATCAAGTATTACTCTGTTCACTCTAGATTTTTCTGGATCTGGATTGTCTGGGGGAGACCATGTTACTTTGGGATGGAATGAAGTAAGTAGCTAAAGAACATGTTTGGCCTTTCATTTTCTTATCGACCTCTTGTCTTGACTCTTGAACAATATTAGACTCTAGAAATATGATTTCTTAGGCTGTTCCTGTAATGATTTGTAGTGATGTCTTTGTATAATTAAAGAATCTCAAAGAACCTTATGCCAATGATTCTGTAGTTTTTGTGATGTTATTAGTTCTTACGCGAAGGGGTGCTAAGGGTCTGTTTGGATGGAGGGTTTTGGTGAGGAAGATCTCTGAGATTTTACAAGATTTGAAAAATAAACTTAATATGTGATCATATAACTTTTCAATAACCTTTATTTTTAAAAAAAAAAACTATCAAGATATAAACTTAGCCCTCTAAAACCCATCATCCAAGCAGACCCTAAGTGACATACCCACATTTTGACCATTACTATAAAATTTGATTGTTCACCAAGAAAGAATTCAAAGACAAAGATGAAAATATTAACCAAAATTATTTATGTGTCACTAGAATGAAATTAGCTGGGCATGACTAGATTGCCCATCTAATGCAACATTGATCATTGTCAACTCAATGCAATTATTTTTTGTTTTGCAGAAGGATGATCTTAAATCTGTTATTGAGTACTTAAGGCGTGATGGAAATGTATCCTTAATTGGTCTGTGGGGTCGATCAATGGGTGCTGTTACTTGGTATATATGCTTACATTTTATTTTTCTTTTTTGGAGTTCTTATTGCATACACGAGCTTTAAGCTTGCACAAATAGCTACATCTTGCTAATCAGTGGAAGAAACTTTTTAATGTATAAACAAGTCTTGCACAATACTAATGCATGTACTGATAAATATAAAGCGACTAATCTCAGGCTCATCATTTTGTAGCCTAATGTATGGAGCTCAGGATCCATCTATTGCAGGGATAGTCTTGGACAGCCCTTTCTCCAACCTGGTTGATTTAATGATGGAAATTGCAGACGGTAACAGAGTACGGCTTCCCAAGTTCACTGTAAGCTGCTCCATTTCTACTATTTGCTTTGTCTATTCTGTAATATTTTCATTTTCTATTCTGTAATTGAGTAAGGCTTCCCAAGTCCACTGTAAGCCCTTCCATTTTCTTAACCTCAGTTTGCTTCTCTTATTCTAGCTTAAGTTCGCAATCAAATACATGAGGAGATCAGTTCTTAAGAAGGCAAAATTTGACATAACAGAGTTGGACACAATCAAGGTACCTCCATGTAAAATGACTTCTTCAGATATGTGTTTGTTTAATTGACTGAGTGGAATTTATCCAAAATGGGAGAAACTTTTCAGACCTAGGCTATCTCTATTTACTGAGACAAACTTTTATAGGTTACATAGTAACATAACTTGTATGGAGGTGAGATTTGCTGGTTTCCTCTGAGCAGTCTTGACTTTTAAGTTGCTTGTAAAGTAAGATTATTGATGTTTTTTTGGATCAATGGGGGCGAGGCCATCCTTGAGCTATCAATTTAAGGGTTCATGTAACCCATTTATTTTTTGTTTGGTGACAATGTTTGGGGTCTGAAAAAACTGTTGTGGAGCTTGCCTAGACTGTAAACTGACTTGCAAATAAGCTTTTATATTCACATCATTATTTGCTGTTCTACATAGCAAATTGGTCTTATGACTCTTATGCTACTTTATCGGTCGGCTTGTCAGATCATTATTTCATTGGATACATTTACTTCGCTTGTTACACATTTACACAGTAACCTTTTAAGGAATCATTGTTCTTGCTGTACAAAATTTATTGCTAATTTTATAATTTTTACGTTATATATCTTACCCCTTCAGTAGGATGATCCTATCAATTTTGTTTATGTAGGTAGCTCGGTGCTGCTGTGTTCCTATGTTGCTAGGTCATGCTGTTGATGATACATTTATACAGCCACATCACTCTGACCGCATATTTGATGCGTATATGGTACATGTGGATCAATTAGTTTTAAGTTTAAAAGAAAACCGTAAATGTTTATATATTAATCATAGAATGATAGTACAGTCTTCATATGTGCTAGCGTACATACTTCATAATTTTAACTGTAAGGGTATGTTTTATATTCTTAGTACTTCATGCTTACCTTTTGTTTAATTTGTTTTGACCACATAATCACAACATATGGCCCAAAATACTTTCTATATAGGATAAAGTGTGCTTTTGGTCCCTGTAAAATAAGCGAGTTTTGTTTTTAGTCCCTCTAAAACATTTTTTATTATGTCATCCCTGTAAAATAATTTATTTTGAAAATAGTCCTTTCACTATTTATTTTAACTTTAGAGTTAATGTTGAATTTGTTTTTTTGTCCCTAGAAAATTAGTGATTTTGTTTTTGGTCTCACTAAAATGTTTTAAATTCAAAGAGATTTTGTTTTTGGTCCTTTTAAACCCTAACAAATTAACTCTAAGTTGGTAAGAGGACCATTTGCAAAAACAAATATTTTACAAGGATGATTTGGTAAAAAAATGTTATAGAGGAACTAAAAGCAAAAATCACTCATTTCACAGGGACCAAGAGCATATTTAACCCTTCTATATAAGTATCTTAATTTTAGTGATTTTTGGGCCATTAGATGCATCCATTCTCTCAAATGACACAAATGGTTAGAATTAAAATTTATAACATAGTACAAAATACTTCTTTTACTGCACGCATTTGTGGAAACCAGCTATTGATGCTTACCTTATACTCTGTACTTAGTAAGTTATACCTGCTACAGTTTTAACTGCGGTCATTTTGCATACTGTATTTGTAGTCTTTTCCTGAGAATGAAGTCTTGTCACTCTTGTGCATTACACATATAGAAGAGAGCTCTGAATTGATAGGAGATAAGTATTACATGTGAGAGAAAACTTAAAAACTTAAAGAGGCCTTTAAGAGGCTCTTTGAAATATTTCCCCCCTTATCTTCTCTATGATTGCGGCATTGCGCACGGATTCTATATTTCATCCACTTTTTTGTAATTTCAATCTTAACGGTAATGCTGACAGGGCAAGAAGAATATTATCAAATTTGAGGGCGACCACAACTCTCCGCGGCCTCTCTCTTACTTTGATTCTATAAGAATCTTCTTCAACAACATTTTACAACCTCCAGATACCGATACATTTTTTGACATGTCACCTGATTATATTTGCAAGGTAATAATCCGCAAATAGCTTGCACATCATTACGAGCAACCAAGCCTTTATATTTCCCCTTTGCAAAAGGCGGTTTATGCTTTTTTAATTGAACACATTTAAGTTTTGCAGCAAGGTAACATAGATGATCATGCCCCCTTGCCTTCAAACCTGATCAGCTTTGAATTCTCTAATGGTGATCCCTATGGTCCAACTATGCCTTCTTCAATAGATGATGATGAGTATGTGGAATATTCTCTTGATAGCTTGACAGATTTAGCAGAGAGCGTGGAGGAAGAAGATAAGGTGTGTATATATCTACTGTAATCTGCACTAACTAGGCTTTGAGGGCAGGGTGGGGCAATTTTATTACTACCCATATATGTTTCTCCCGGGTTAGGGATGGCGATGCCAATGCATTACTCCTTTCATCCTGAAAAGAAGAACTGTTTGAGTAAAAAACTTTTTATTGATAGTCAACCATAGTACCATACCAAAGTAGGGCATTTTACAAGTTATAAATGATCACTGATACCCCTATTGTTTGGATTTCCGGACCAAAACAACTTGATGATTGTCTTTAGATGAATCTTACTTTAAAATGAAGGTCAACTTTTAAAACTAGACTCCATTTGGGACAAAGGTTCTTGAAATCAGACTCTTTTTTGGGTCGGGAGGAGTATTTTACTACCATTTCTGATTGTTGCACTTCCACGTCTCATTATTTAGTCCTTGTATATATTGCTAATGTGAAGATTATGAGGAATCTTGATTCTAAAACACTAATTTCTCCCTCCCTCCCTCCGTGCAGGCAATGATGCTGAGAGATGAGGGAGGGAGGGAGAGTTAGTAGCTGTGTTCAAAATTTCTTCTACTCTCCACCACTGTATGATTTTTTTTCCACCTTTCTGCCTTTTTAAGAGATTTTTTTTTTTTTGAAAAAAAAAAAGATAATCAAGGAAGCAGTAAAGAGCCCATTCAACAATTTGGGAACAAGACATTCTTGCATTGAGGAGCTTTCATCAAACAAGAAACAATTAGAACCACTCCAGGAGTCTTCTTCTTCTTCTTCCTCTTCTGCTACAAATCTCCCCATGTGCTCAAATGATCCTGAAACTCCAATGGTCACCGGTAACACAATCCTTCCTAATTCAATTCTATCAGCACCAGAACCAGAAACCAGTCGCCGGTTTTCCCCTCAAGCTAACACTTCAGTCGACCAACGGAGTCCGATTAGTTTTGACTCAACTGACTGCACGAAAGTCACCGTGACAGTCATAAAGAGCCCAACTTCCAAAATATTAGATGGTTTGTTGTGTCGTTGGGATCTTAACTTTTCCAGAAATAGATAAATGGTCTTGAGAAACAGGCAATTGCTAAAATATAGCATTGTACTGCTTACTTTCTAACTGATATACCGAAAGATTATGCTTGTTTTGGAGCTGATGTCTTTGTACTTGTGATGGTGTATTATGGATGTGGACTATATAAGATCCTTATCAAGGAGATTATATTTGTTTTGTTTTGCTGGAGAATGGTTTGCTTCATTTGTTGTTAGTTGCAAAATTCACCATTTTTTACTGTGTAATATTGTAAGTTACTCTCTCTGTCTATCTTCTTGTGTGAAGTTGGGTGTTATAAAATGACACTCCACTGTTCGTCATTGTGCACTTTTCACTTGAATATGTTGTGATTGTGTGTGTTACAACAAATAATAAGTGCCAAAACAGCAGGAGTATAGGCTTAATAAGAACCATTTACACTTGTTAAGGATGTTACATGATAAAAGAATGTTATTTGTGGTCGTCTTCTCTCAGCAGCTCTAACGCAGTTTCAACCAAAGACCCCATTGTTGTGGTGTGTCGGTTCATGCCAACAGACCCAGAAAAAACATGAAAGCTCTCAATCTCCGACGTGGTCTCCGTGATGCACTCCATCTGGTTCTCCATTCCCAGGTTCCTTAAAACCTCAATGTTTGTTCTCTTGTCTCTCATCATCCAAATCGCCACCTCTATGGCAAACCTCCTGATTCTTGGAACCTTGATTGATGGCCATGGATGGCTCTCAAGGATTCGAATCAACTTTTCGGCGAGTTGGGTTTCTTCAATCCCTGCTCTTGTGAACATGGCGCTTGATTCTTGAGGCTCCATGAACATGAACACATGTCCTGCTAATCCAAGCATCACCTCCTGCAATTTGCTTTCCTCTGTCATGATTGCTTTCAGAATCTGCAATGGTGTAAATTGAATTGTCTCTTGTTATATAAGCTCCGGTGCTTTGGATTTGAGGGAGGGAGGGAGGGGGACTTACAGTTGGTCCGGCGGCTGTGAGTCTCTGGAGCGGCGCAAAGCAATCAGAGTCCTCGCTGCTGTAGGCACACAAGTTCCTCAAAACCCTAGCCGCGTTCACCCGGAGTGGCGGAGCAGCCAGAGCTCCGACGAGCCTTTCCGTCGCTCCTAACCTCAGAATCCGGCGGCAGTTCTTCTCGCTCTCCAGCGCCAACATCGCCAGCGCTTCTCCGGCGGCATTCCTCACGCGGATCCGGTCCTCGTCATCCCTCGTCAATCGCACGTCTCCGCCCTCGTCCTCCTCCTCCCCCGCCGCGGGGTTTAAGAAGATCCGGATCAGCTCCTTGAGAACTCCGCCGGTCCCTCCGATCCTCTCCGACGCCTCCTCCTCAAGCGCGAGGCTCTTCAGGATGTCTATCCCCAGGAACTGCAGCGTCGAGTGTCTCCCGCCGTACTTGAGTATATCTCTGAGGTTACTCACCGTGAAAACCACTTCCGAGATCTCGTTCCTCAGATCCTTCCCGGTGGCTCCCGTCGTGCTCGCCAGCATCTGGAGAACTTGCAGGGACCGTTTCAGCGCCAGGATCTGCGTCGGCGCCGCCGATTCGTCCCTCAGCAGCCTCTCCCCCGCCTGCGCGAAGTCTATGATCTTCGGCAAGAGTCCTCTGGTGTTCGCAATCTTCCCGCAATTATCATGATCCCGAGCTAACTTCTTCAGAATCAGAAGCCCTAGATGGTTGAAAGTCCAATACCCGTAATCCTCCCTGTCCAAGACGATTCTCTTCTCTGAAATCTCGTCCCGCGGCCCGCCCGGCGGGTCGCGGATGATCTGCAGGAGGGAGGAAATGGACTCCATGGCTCCCGGAATTCCGGCCACCCGAAGAGCGTTCTGTTTCTTTCCGGCGAGCTTCGACAGGATCTCGGCGGCGGAAAGCCTGATCTCTTCATCTTCCAGATTCTTCCAGTTCAGCATCTCCACCAGCCTCTCCATCACAGATATGTTCGTTCCAATCTTCTGGAGCGTGTCGTCCCAGAACCTGGGGCTGGTTGAGAACTTCTTCAAGATCCGGGCGCCCGAGAGCTGCTCGTCCGGGAAGTTGGAACCCAACAGCTCCATCCCGAACGAGACCATGTCCATCTTCAGCCCGTCGAACACGCTCCCGAACACGCACTTGGAGTACGCGTCGTAGAAGAATCGCTTCACGGAGGCCTCGCCAGGAGGCCCGAGTTCGCACTCCCTGTTCACTTCTTCTATCAGGTTGCCAATCGAAATCTTCCACTCGCAGTAAGCCTTCTCCATGAGGAAGAGCAGAGCCTCTGCCAGTGCCAAGGAATAGAAGATGTTGAGAGCCGACTTCCGGTTCCTCCTGTCCGTGTCTCCCTTCGCCACCTCCCCGAAGTCCTGTCTGATGAGCTTAACCAGGGAGAGGACCAAACAGGTGGTTGCAGAAGCAATCTGGAGCCAATGCAGGAGCTTCCCCATGTTTCTTGATATGAACAGCCATTGAGCATATGGAACAAGAGGAACCTCTGAGGTTGTCCATCTCCTGGTTGGCACCCTCTTCTCGTTGTCCCACTCTTTGACCACCGGCAGGACCTTGTCGTGCTGGCTGCTGGTGGCAGTGGCCCTTTTTATCGCCCTGAAAGCCCGGGCTACGAAGTGGGACCCGGATTTCAGAGCGCGGAAGCTGCTGAGCCCGACGTCCGTCAGGGACCACGTGGCCTGGTGTTGCCACTCGAGCTCGTGGCTCCTGCTGAAGATCCGGGTCCCTTCGATCAAGAGGATGATGGTTATGAACCAGAAGTCGGTTTTGGCTAAGGTGATCGCGAAGCCTCCGAGGAGGACGACCGTGGCCCATATGAACCCCAGGGTCCCCAGCCCCGTGGCGGCTTTCTCCAACACCGCCAGCCTCAGCGCGAAGAGCGTCAGCTTCTTCTCCGGCGCCCTCACCGGATTCTCCGCGTTGATGACATTCTTCTCAATCTGGATGCCGACGTCCCCGCCCTCGCTTTCTAACGAATGCCGTCTATCCATTTCAAGAACTCTCTTGGATCAATTGGTTTGAGATTTTTTGGTTGTGATGAAAGTGTTTGAGTAAAAAGGAGATGATTGAGTTGTGAATGTTGGAAGTTAATGAAGCTTGTGGCTATGGTTTGGAGGTATATATACATACAGGGAAACAGAGAGATGGAGGGATGACAGAGGGTTGAAGGAGTGAGCTTGGAAAGCACGTTACAGTTGCGTCTCTTTCTGTCAGTTTTTTCCTGGTAAAGTTTATACTTTTTGCAACAAATTATTTAAATATATTTTGTAATCCCCCATGATTAGTACTCCCTATTAATTAAATATGACACGTTAGTATTAAGGAAATGACACACCTGTTTGGTTCCTTAAATTCCCTCTAATAAACTTCACTTTTTATTTTATTTGGATATTCCAAAATAAAAATTATGCTTCAACTTTTTCTTTTTTAAAGTATGAAGTATGTGGCTTACAGAAATTTTTCTATTTTAAACAAATTTTATTTACACATTTTTAAATTTTCATCATTTTTCTTGAACTTTGTAAAATCAAAACCATCAAGTTTTTTGTCAAATGGGGAGAGTAAAAACCGAAGGAGTACAAGTTAAGAAGGAATGGTTTTTTTTCTGGCTTTATCTAGACTAACTTATTTAAATATACTTCAATTACTGATTTAATTGTTTAAAGGCATTAGTCTGTGTTTTCTCAAATTTGTTAGGCATTCTTATCCAATAAATCCAAAAACCATTATTTTGTCCATTCAATAATTCACTTTAGTCATTATTATTGGTCTGCTAAGACAATCTAAACCTTTGGATGATGAATTTGTGGCATTGGTTGCCGTCTTTGTTTTTCCTGTTTTGCTTCCAATGCTCTATATATATAGAGCCCTTAGGGTTTCTTCTCTTCACTTGATCTGATTGGTTTTGATTGAAAAAAGTTCTGATCTAGTCTGACTATAGATAAAATTAAAGTTATTTTTGATTTGAACTGATTTAGTTTGAATCAAATAAGAATAAGTGATAATAATAAATTAAAGAGAACAAACTCTTAGTGACTGAAGTCCTTGGTTTGCTTTGACGAACCATGATGCACTCGGTCCCTGATCCCTGCGTGGGAGGGCAACTTTGGTACAACTTCGTTGGGACAAGCTAGACACTTATACACATCTCAAACCTTGGTACTCTCTTCATTCCCGAATAAAGGTCTACTAGGACTTTCAAGATACATTAATGCATGTGTACATGATGTCTGTCCACGTTCATTCAAAATCTAATGTATTTAAAAAGTCATAACAGACAATTTGGAATCGCTTAAATCCGAAGATGATCGAGGAGGTCAATTGGTATGATGTACGTTCCCATTACCATAACTTATTCCCTTTTCATTGGGAGGAAAACAGTCATATATTACCCAGACAAAGTGGCTTCGTGCAAGAAAAGCTATAGGAAAAGTACCCCCCATCCCTCATCAGGCCCCCCATGAAATGGGATCAATTCTCCCTCCACGTGGTTGCTTAGTGGAATTTTGACTTGTGATTAGAAGATTTTTACAAAGTGACGAGAATATAAATATAAAGATTCTTCACCCTTTTCTTTGTCACGTTAATTAGCGCGCAATCTGTAATTTAACCACATTAAAGAAAACAAAATGGTTTCTGATTGATTAATCCCACTTTTAGTTATTCAGTAACTACGACTCCAAAAAAAAAAAAATACGTATAGTCCATATCATGAAAAATTGTAGGTATATTTATTATTGCAACCAATCATTCAAAAAAAAAAGAAGAAGAAGAAGAAGAAAATGTTTATTCCAATGGGAATTAATTAACGTGTTGAGTAGAGACTTCAAGCGACAATGACACTGATAGATGGGTGAATGGATGCCTTCACAAATACTCGATCCCTTCGTCGTGGCATATAATACTTCCTCCCTTGTAAAATGCTTTACAATTTATTCAAAACGAAACAAATTTTCAAGCTTTTATAAAATTTATTTTATCAAAAAACTAGTAAAGAAATCATATATATATATATATATATATATATATATATATATATATATATATATATATATATATATATATATATATATAGGGGAGGGATCAAGTGAGAATGAGTTGCTGTGAAAGAAATGAGAATGATCTAGATCCATTAGATTTACTCCATCGTGCGGTCTCCAATATGCAACATAAATTGTTTTATAAAAGGAAAGGGGAATTGTTATTGGGTATGTTAAATGAGACAGACACGTGGAAGGGCATTCCTGGAAATGGAGAAGTACATAAATAAGCGTAAAAAAGGTGCAGATCTTTAATATCCCGCCACTTACGCATTTTGCCTTGAATAGAAGTCTTTTTACTTTCTTCCATAACCCTTTTCTTCCGCCGGCGCTGCATTCTTCAGAGCTTCGTTCAGAGTGAAATTGGTAAGTGAGAGAAAGTTGCAGTGCACGCCTTAAGAAGAAGGAGACCTCGTGAAGGAGGAGGCTGTTAGAATTCGCATTCTAAGGCATGACTACTGCGGGGAAATCAGCGGTGGTGGTGGAAGGTATGCGTTTTTAATTTCGAAAGGGTCTATTTGATTTTGGGTTTTGTTTGTATTGCATGGCGTTGATTAATGCATCTGTAGTTTTAATTTCGAAAGGCTCTTCGACATTCTTCTCTGCGAGTTTTGGGTGCATCTCTAATTACTTTTTCTGATTTGCATGATGGATTGGTTTTGACATATTAAGTGCAGGGGTAATGTGCTTCATTTTATAAAAAAAAGTGTAATAGTCTTGACTTTTATGAAACAGATTTTGGAATTTGGGTGTAGGGATTTTGTCTGGGAAAAAATTGATTTTGGGTATGAGTATATTTGTGTTCTAGCATTAAACTATTTTGTGAGCACGTGTGAAGAATTGATTTTTAAATGTGAAGAATATACAAGTAATATGTGTTGTTGGGACCTCTTCATTGCAAATTAGGTCATAGTTGTTTAAATGTGATTATTTAAGGGGGGTGGAAATTGTAGTTATATTGCATAGGAAAATGATTTCAGAATGGATATTAGTTGAAGTAGTTTTTTTGGTTGATGCATGATGTGTTTTTTATTGTATGGTATCACATTGCAGTTGTAATTCTGTAGTGTGTTGTTATGAATTGGTGCCTCTGTGTGTGTAAGGATTATATGGTAAATATTCTGTTTATATTTCTGGTCTCAATATTTTTTAGCATATTGGTTTTAGCAATTGGTTTTTTGGTACTGTGCAGCTTGATATGTTGGTAGATGTGTTAGTTGGTTTTGAAGAATGCAATGTTGTCATACGATTGTTGTTCCTCTTTTGAAGAATAAAGAATAATGCCGGTGTTTTTCATTAGCAGATATGGTTCATTTCAGTGAAGTGTTATTGCATATTTTGTAGTTAGTAGACAAACATCATAATGTACTGGATTTGCATGTTTTGTAGTTGGGGTAGTTCTATTCTGT